AAAGAAAGAAAGAAAGAAAGAAAGAAAGAAAGAAAGAAAGAAAGAAAAAGAAAACCCAGCAGGCCAGCCAAGGGCAAGAAAGAGAACGTGCAGGAGCGTGTTGCTGAGAGACTGGTGTGCAGGGCGTGCTGTGAATGTTCTCCTAGGGCCCCACTCTGAGGATCCCTGCTAGAACCTTCAACCCTTGTTTTGTGATGTTTTTTTGGTTCGTTTTTTTTTTGTTTTTTTTTTTTAAGTTTATACATGTATTTTGAGAGGGGGGCGGAGGGGCAGAGAGAGACAGCCCCAGGGAGGCTCCGCATTGTCAGCGCATGAGTGGGGCTTGATCCCACGAACAGTGAGATCATGATCTGAGCCTAAATCGAGAGCCGGGTGCTTAATCAACAGCCCCTAGTTGCCCCGAACCTGCAACCCTTGGAAGGTTCTGCGTATCAGAGAGAAACAGGCCGTGTCTAGCAGAGCAGAGGGAGAGGTTTCCAGGGGTTCTGGGCTAGAGGGCAGGCCGCGGGGGTGATGGACAACAGGAAGGAGGGCGGGGGGAGGGAGACCCCCGTCCTCACCCCAGAACTGCACCAGGAAGACCAGCGCTGTGCCCAGGGGCTCCATTCCTGGCCCATCAGGGCCCCCTGCTTCTCCTCGCTGGTGCGCACCCCCCATTCAATTCGACAGACCTCTGGCCACAATCTCCGCCCCTGCCACAGGGGCAGATGTGACGCCCAGGCCAGACGGTAGATGTCAGTCAGGTGACCAAAGCTTCTAAGGGCTCCACTTCCTCCCGTCTGTTGCCTCAGTTTCCCCAAAGATTCGTTTGGTTATTTATTTATTTATAATCTGAAAGGCAGCACGTGTACGTGAATGGGATAATGCGTCCCAGTGAATGGAAATCTTTCTGGGAGATTCTATATAAGCACACCTGAGCCGGGGGAGGGGACACGTTGGAAGGTTAGGTGAGGCAGGTGGGGGGGGGGGGGCCGGGGAGCAGGCAGGAGAGGCCTGAGCCTGGATTGAAGATCAGAATCCCAGCTTCAATTATTTTGCCCCCAAAATGTCGTCCTTTGAGGTTCAGAGGAATGGATTTGTGCTGAGGGTACCAGGTCCCCCAACAGGTACAGGGTGGGGGTGGGGAGGTTACCCTGTCCCCATAGGTTGCGGAGAAGTTTGGGGGCCCCATTGAGGGGGTTCATAAGCCCTGAAATTTCTCCCAGCCCTACGGGACAGGCCCTAGGCCTCAGTGTCTGGCTCCCGACCACAGTGTGACCTCTTTTTAAACCCGGAAAGAAGAGGGCCTGCGTGAGCCCCAGAATCGTTCCTGTCAACCACAGGATGGCCCCCGGCGGCGGCCGCACTCTGACCACACTGTCGTAGCAGATACACACAGTGTCCCAGCCTCCCTTGGACTTTCTCAAACTCTACCCTTCCCCCCACCCTCTGCTGAGAGGCAATGCTGGAGATCCTGGGGAGATCTGGCCCCGGGCTGGCCGGGAAGACCAAGGTGGGCACAGACATTCTTGGCCTTGTGGATTCCGGTCAGGCAGAGAGGCTGCTGGAGGCGGAGATGTGCGATGCCGGGGCTTTGCGGGATGTATAGGAGTTCGGCTATTTTTCTCGGAGAGAGAAAGAAGGCATTCATTGGAAGGAGACCATCCTCTTGGACCTTGGCTTTCCAGCGGACGCAAGGAGCGTGAGCAGTGAGGGGCCAGATCTCGCGGGAGGGGTGGGTGTGGCCTTCCAGTTTGAGGAGCGGCCACGAAATCGCGTGGGTGCCCGAGTGCGGAGACTGAGGCACTACAGGGACGAAGGATGGGCTCGAGGTCACCACCCGGGTGGTCGAACCCAGGCAACCTCCTTCCCAGTCCCGGGCTCTCGCCAGCTCCGTCATCGCGACCGGCGTCGGCCCCAGGCTCTGGGGGGTCCCCGGCTCTCAGCGACCCCAGCGCAGGACTACGTTTCCCAGGCTGCCGCGGGGGGCGCGCCTGCGCGCTGCGGCCAGTGATGGAGCGCTGACGGGGGGCGCGGCGGCGGCGGCGGCGGCGGCGGCGGGGAGGGCTCGGCGGGCCATTGGCTCGTGGTCGCGGCAAAGGCGGCTTGAGGACCAGAAGAGCGAGCGGGGCCCGCGGGCCGGGCCGGGGACGACCTGGGCCGCGGCCATGGAGGACCAGAGGGTAGGAGCGGGGCGGGGCGGGGCGGGGCGGGGCGGGGGTGGACCAGGGGAGGGGACCAGGTGCTGCCGCAGCGCCCCCCACCCCCACCCCCGCAGCTGCTCTGCGGCCGAGGCCCCACCCCCGCCGCCACCCCGCCGGGATCCAGCCCCCCAATGCGGGACCCAGCACCCCACCACCGCCCCCGCCGTCGCCCCGACCTCTCATCATCTTGGCCCGGGTCCAGGCGCATCCCCTCCAAGCCCCCCACCGGCGCCCAGCATCCCAGCCCCAGCCTGACCCATCCCCCACGCCTTCCATGCGGACTGCGGACCAGGTGTCCGGTCTCTGCCCCGCCCCGCCCCTGAGGACGCTGCTCCGGCTCCGCACAGGTGATCCCACCGATCCCGCACCCCCAGAAGAGGGACCAGGAGGGGGTCCCTCCCGTGGGAGGCCTGGGTCAGGGCTCCAGGCCCCAGCGGGATCCTCCCACGCGGCTTCTCTTCTCTCCTCCCCCTCCCCCAGACCTCCCTGCCCCGCTCCCCAGTTGCCTGGGCCCTCTGGCCCCGCGTTCCCAGGTTCCTCCTTTCTTCTTCCCGATCCCTGTTCCCAAGGTGGCCCCTCACCCCAGATCACGCCCCGCCCTCAGGTTGAAGGCTTTGTGCTGAGGCCGACCTGGCTCCGGCCCAGGGTCGGCGCCTTCCCCGGAGGCTCTTTTTGAGCCTCAGTTTCCTCCCCTGTCAAATGGGCATGTGCCAGGCGAGGGGAGGTGGGGCCAGAGCTTGGCCCAGGGCCTGCCTCACGGCGGTGCCCAAGCTCACTGGCACGGTGGCTCCCACATCTCCTGGATCCCAGGAAGGCGGAGTGGGGAGCCTCAGGTTTGCGGGGGGGTGGGGGGGGTGGGGGGGGTTGGGGATGCCGGGCCTGGCCGAGGGGCTTACCGGCTTTGGCGTGTGCCTGCTTCGGGTGGGGGCAGGAGGCTCTGCGGAAGATCATCACCACGCTGGCTGTGAAGAATGAAGAGATTCAAAGCTTCATCTACTCCCTCAAGCAAATGCTGCTGAACGTGGAGGTGAGGAAGTCCCCTCTGCAGGAGGGACGGGAGGAGGTGGGGAGTTCGCGGGCCTGAAGGGCTGGGGGGTGGGGCAGCCACGGGAGTTAGCCAACCCGTTGCTGCCGATGATGCCCGTCGGACTGTGCCCGTCTGAGCCTGGGCTTTGGCCGACCCTGGCCGTCCTGACCCCACAACCTCTTCCCGAGGCCAACTCCACCAAGGTACAGGAAGACCTGGAGGCAGAGTTCCAGTCCCTCTTCTCCCTCCTGGAGGAGCTGAAGGAGGGCATGTTGATGAAGATCAAGCAGGACCGTGCCAGCCGCACCTACGAGCTGCAGGTGGGGCGGGGCGGGGGGGGGGCGCTCCGGACCGTCACCCAGACCCTACCCCCCCCCCACCGCACCCCTCAGACTCAGCAGAGCCCGGCTGGCCTCAGGGTCTCCCTCCACACCTGCTCCTCCTCCCACACCGCCTCTTGGAGGTGCCCCCGAGTGTCTCCCGGATCCAGAACAGACACCCCAGTGGCCTCGGCCTCACCTCCTCTGTTTCCCGGCCTCTTCTCTGCCCCTTCCCTGGACCTGATCCCTGTACCCACCTGCTCTCCCTCTCGGTCCCTGCTCCCACCCCCACCCCCTTCTCCTTCACCACATCCACGTCCGGCTGTTCCTCCCCTCCTGTCCACACCCAACGCCTCTGATTTCTCAGCCCTTCCCACCGGTCCCCAGATCCGACAGCATCGCCTCTTGCCAACCCCCCCACCCCTGCCACGTACCGCCCCTAGGGGGTCTAGGACTCTCACTGAGGCACCGGGGCTGCATCAGAACCTCCCGGACAACTCCCTATAACATCCCAGATTTCCCAGCGTGGAAGAAGTTGGGGCCCCAAGGCTCAGGTGGGGTCCGGGCGTGTGAGTTTGCAAGAAAGGGATTCCCCAGGTGATTCTGCTGTGCTGCCGGGAGTGAGCCCCGATTTCCCTGCCGCCTTCCCACCCCCGCAACCTGGAGTTGGAGAAAGGTGTGGTGTCCCCAATCCCACAAAGTGGGGGAGACCGCGAGGGTTTGACGCAGTGGGGTGAGGTGTCTCTTCCCTCGATGCCATGCCACTCGTAGAACCAGCTGGCTGCCTGCACGCGGGCCCTGGAGAGCTCAGAGGAGCTTCTGGAGACGGCCAACCAGACCCTGCAGGCCACGGACAGCGAGGACTTCCCTCAGGTGGGCGCCTCAGAAGCCATACTGGTAGGACTGCAAGCTAAAATATAGGACGCGCGGTTAAATTTGCATTTCAGATCAACCATGAGTGACTTTTTAGTACAAGTGTGGCCCGGGCAGCATTCAGAAGTATGTCCCAAAGAACACATGGGACATACTTATACTAAAAAATTCTTCGCGGTTGAAGGCGCCTGGGGGTGCTCAGTGGGTTGAGCATCCAACTCTTAATTTCGGCTCAGGTCATGATCTCCCGGTTTGTGGGTTCAAGCCCCACATCGGGCTCTGTGCTGAGAGGGCAGAGCCTGCTTTGGATTCTCTCTCTCCCTTTCTCTCTGCCCCTCCCCTGCTTGCGCTCTGCCTCTCCCTCCTCTCTCAAAATAAATAAACTGGAAAAAAATTTTTTTAACTTATTTGTGGTTGATCTGAAATTTAAATTTAATAATGAATAATTTTTGAATATAATATATCCCATGACATATTTAGTATGTGTCCCAAATATTGAATGGGGCCCATTTATACTAAAAAATCATTTTGTTTATCTGAAACGCAGAGGTAACTGAGCACCCTGCATTTTTATCTGCCAAATTGGCCAGCTGTATATACTGGGCACTGGGGGTGGGGGTAGGAGCCTGTCTTTGCCCCCTATCCCTTTGGGGCACAGCCAAGTGTTTCTGCCCCAGTGGTGGGGGACTTTGCCAAATGGCCCACTCTGGGCCTCAGTCTTCCTGTCTGTGTAGTGGCTTTCTGATTCAACGAAGACAACACTTTGAATTTTATTCCGTCCCTTTTTCTAGGCTGCCAAGCAAATCAAAGATGGGTAAGATGCCGGGATCTGGTTCCCACCCCAGTGCCCTGTCCCTGGTGTGAAGGTGGGGTCCCTTGGCCCAGCGCACTGAACCAGAACAAAGGGGACTGGGTCTCCCGCGCACGCTTCAGAGGCCTGGGCCCTTTTGAGATGCCTGCCGGCAGGCTGCCTCTGTCTTCCTCCCTGCAGTGTGACGATGGCGCCTGCCTTCCGGCTGTCACTGAAGGCCAAGGTCAGCGACAACATGAGTCACCTCATGGTGGACTTTGCACAGGAGCGCAGGATGCTACAGGCACTCAAGTTCCTACCTGGTGAGAGGGGAACTTTCTCCCGGCCTGGATTTCAGGGAAATGGCCCAGGAGTCTAGGGTAGCCTGAGAAAGGCTGGGGTAAACCTGGCGTTGAAATCCCGAAGGCACCGCTCCTGGAGGTAGAGCCCTGAGGATACCCTGCCTGTGTGGGTGGGGCCACGAGGAGGCCCGCCCCTGTGGGTGG